ATTTTTTTTAATATATAGTTGCCACAATAAAATATTTTCCAATCAGCATTAAAGTAGTGATTTAGGAGTGGACGAATGGATTTTAAAAGTTCAGAAACTGAACAAAGCAACATATTTCAAAATTTAATAGTTATGTTTGTCTAGTCAATACATTGCTAACAAAGATTGAGAAAGTGATTACTTAATTAAGATTTGGCACACTAGACTTGATTGTCATCACCTTGATGAGGGCTAAAGAAAGCAAGGATGCTCCCTGTGATAGCTGAACTTTTGATCCTCCTTAGAGTGAGAAATGGAAATATGCATTGGTACATCTGCATGAAAAATTTTGTTCAGCATCTTCCAAGGGATCTTGACTGTAACCTTGGTGTTATACCTCATTTTTTTTCTGCTCACCAAATTAAACTTGGTTCCTTTTGACAAGTGTTTGCCATCAGTGTTTAAAATCTATATCTTTGTGCAAAGAGTCAAGTTACCTAAGCATTTTATATCTATCTGAAGTTTCTGGATTTCATGTGAGATGGGAAGATTAGCACTTATAGTTGATAAGTTAACTTCATTTCCTAAAAATGGATTAAATTCTTGAGTTTCTTATTTTTTGCAACACAAATGTTTGTACTCATGAGAAAATGCAGCTGACATCGTTTTGGGAAATCAAGGAAATAAATTGCGAAAACAGCTGTAAGGAAATTAATATTTGGCTAGTTTGCTTGGAGTACAGTGAATTTCTCAGTCAGAGCAGAGTTTCTATCTGCTACAACCATTAATTTTGCTGATTTACTGTAAACATTTGAAATGGCATAAGAGAGCCTAATTTCCTGCCTTTCTTTTAGAAATAGTACTGCCTGATTCCCACATGCAGCCCACTTCAGCTTGGAGTGTTTATTGGTACTATTTATTGTTCTTTTTAAGCCTGGGTGGCATTCTTTGAGCTACCACAGTTGACTGCAAAGAGGGACCTGCAGATCTGTAAGGCATCCCTGAACATCAAAATTTCAAAGCTGCTTAGGTTGAGAAACCATCAAAATCCCTTTCCTCAGACTCTTGAAATTGGGAAGTTTGTGTTCTGGTTTGTGACTCATGAGGTGTAGGTTATAATCTCTAGGAAAGAAGTGCAAAATTACCTTTATTTTGTACAACAATGAGAGTTTCACAGAAGCTCAGGAGCAACTTTAAAACTCTTGTAGTGACAAGATCAGATAACAGGCACATTGAACCGCTAACTCATGACACCAGGGAGCTGTGCTGTAAAGCTGGGGTCTGTGTATCCATCATCCCCGGGGCAGCTGCTGTGAGTCAGCAGCTGACCCAGAGCCCAGGACTGATCCCTCCCTCTGCCTGCTCTGATGGCTTAGGAGAGGGGCAATAACATGTGTCATGTGTCTGTGTAGGACTGATCAATGTGGAGAGGTTATGGAAGGGTAATTCCCATGTCTGGGGATGGGAGAAGTACCTTCCAACAAGGGCAAAAAAGTAAAATACCCCTAGACATCAGGAGTAGAACCAGGATCCGTCCTGCTGACAGAACAGCAGACCCTACTCTCTATAAAAAGCAAACCTGGAGACATTTCTGTACTTCGTCTTTTGGGGAGTTAGTGAGGCAAACTGGATGGTCTTGGACAGACAAGATGAGGTGGTCTGATCAGCAGGTTGTGCTGTTGTATCATTGGAAGCTGTGGCTCAGCACTCCTCCTAGCTTCCTACAAATTCCTTATGGCAATGTGCACATTTACCAACAAATAAAAAGATCTTCTAAGACCTTTTAAAAGACCTCTCTTTTTGAACTCTTAGGCTCATATTCATCATGTCCTGCAATTTATGCAGTTTATGTCATTTAGGATCTTACATCTGACCTGATGAGACTTCCATTCTAATCATCATTTTTGTCACGATTAGATCATTTAAATCAACATGCTGATCTGATTAAGTTATTCTAGTCTCAATCTCTACCTCACCTCGTTAAGGTGGCAATATCAAAAAATATTTAACTTTACAGTAATCAAACTTTGAGTAGCCAGTAGCATGTTTATAAGTGTCCAGGAGCCAGTGCTAGGGGGCTTGATTATTACTGCTGAGGAGGGGAGAATTTTTCTTTTACTAGCTTGTTTTAATAGTCCAGGAGAACATGTTCTTAAATCATTCTAGACAACTAAACTTCATTTTCTGTTTTATAACCCAAATAAAAATGTCATTTTACTTGTTTCCTGTTAACGCTCCCAAACATCTTGTGCCTCTGCCTTGGCCAAACAAACAGTCCGCACACCGTGGTTCTATTGGACAACTAGAAACTGTTTGCTCATGTTGTTGACCCAGTTCCAGCCAAGCAGTAAATGTGGAATACAAAAAATTCAGATTGTCTTGGTGAAAGTCAGAAGAATCAGGTTTTCTGTAATATTTAGTTGCCAGTGCCCAGAAAAATGGGTGTGAATACTTTCCAAAAGAAAAGCTTTAAAGAGCATATGTGATTTTGAGGATTACCATGAGCAAGAGGATTATTATGTGATAGACAAAGGGAATAAGAGATTAAAGCACATTAAAAGAGAGTTGTTTTACATCAAAGGTGTAGGACGGCTACACACTTTGTATAATGTAAGGCATTGGCCAGGGAGTCAGACAGTTGGGATTTAGACTGAGCTCTCAAGCTCTTTTAGCTTTTCTGATTTCAGCTCTATAGAGCAGTGTCTGAAATATGCAAAGATGTTTGCATTCAGAAGTGAATTAAGCAACAATAATCAGCTTACAGATTTCTGTTCTGTGATAGAACAGAAGAAAAGAGAAAAAATCCAGACATTTAGGTCACATATAAAAAGCCTCTGGGCTGTTTGGAGTGAGCATCCAGTTCAGTGATCACAGGAAGAAATTTCTATTAAACAGCCCATCAAAATAGCCTCTTCTCTTTGGCAAAATGCATAACTCAAACATTTAATGTCTTTCATCTTGTCCTGAGATTTGTTTTCATCATCTGATCGCAGCTGAAATCTGAAAAAAAAATTTTTGAGTGTGTACTTAAAAATTATTATGCAATATGTATTTAAGACTAAAAGTTTAGATTTCCTCATAAATTTTAGATTCAGAAAATTTGCAATCAGCATTATTACGGCAATAGATCAATACGGTCTGGCCCAAAGGGCAGGAGCTTAATTCTCTTGCATCTCATTTTGCTTCCTCTGCCAGCAGATGTAGCTTGTAACTTACTTGTAGGTCCGATTTGACCCTCAAAGCTGTGACAGCATTCCTGTAAATATGTTTGCAGCTGAATGACAGTTCTACATTGTCTGTCCCAAGAGCTGAACACAGCAATTCATTAACTCTGAACTATCATCCAGCCATTTGACATAGCCCTATGTGTATCCCAACCCTCTCGGGACTGGATCGGTAAGTTCCAGCATTCATCAAATAAAGCATCCAGACACATTGCAATAAGCCTACTGTTCATGTAATTAAATAAATTCAGGGAGCATGTAAATGAGTCTTTGGCAGCATGAGCCCTCGGCAGCAGCGGAGTTCGGCATTCCACTTTTCCCGATGCAGTGATGTTCCCTGCAGACCTGAGCGCCCCTGGGGCCGAGCCGGTGGGCACAATGGCCTTTCTGCCCAAAGTGTAAAATGCCATCGGTTAAGGAAAGAATGTTTATAGTTCATACATCATCTGACAGAGTTTCCTTCCTCTGGCAGGGTTTCCCAGGCCTGTGGCTGAGGCAGTAACAATAGCAGGCAAACACCAGAGGGAGTTATTGTTCTACTGGAGAAAGAAGTGCCTCAGGACACAGTGTTTGTAAATAGTCTGAGGTTTCTACCCAACGAAAAATGTTCAGGTGACAGGACTCCACAAAATGTAAATGGTGAAACCATTAATTCTAATGATGTTTGAAGAGCTGGTGCTCTTCACCAGTTTTCAGTGCTGATTCCAGTGTACTGCTCCTTTGTACCAAGCAGTTGCTGCGTAACACCCACTCACCCTCCACTAATTTTTTTACATCTCTTCACACTATACAAGAGCCTTGCAGTTTAGTATCAAGAGCCAGATGAGCAGGCAATAAGAAGTAACCTTTTTCACTTGTTTATTAAAGGAGTCTTTTCTCCTGGTCCATCCACACAGGCCCATACTCAGTCAGAGTGCCTGTGTCTTGACTGGTAAAGTCCACATACTCTCAGAGTCCTGCTTCCTCAGAGTCCTGCCTGTAGAACATGACCAGGCTGCAACCATCTCCCCAGCTGATCTAGTCTTCCATGGAAGCAAATCTGGATACACAGATAGGAAAGAATCAAGTGGGTTATCCATATACTGGAAATAGGCTGCCCTTTCAGCAGCTATACCTGCATTTTATGCCTGCTAGAAGTCTGGCCGCCTTCTGCTCATGAAGTTTCAGCTGGCCATGACCAGGAAAAGTGCATCCCCTGGACTCTCCATAGAGAGGCTCTTGCAGCTGCTCAGTCTGCAGTAACTGACTGAAAGAAAGCACACAGTCAGCCCCGAGGTGAATCTATGCCAGTATCTTTTAGAAGAACATTTCAGTGAACAAACTGACCCAATTCCATTACACTTCACACAATGCTGGGCCAGGTGGAAAGCTTCTCCAATTCACTGCTGAACTTCCAAGACAAAGGACTAAAGTGGAGAGTCACTGTCTGCTTTTTCTGTGCATGTAATGAATGCTTCTGCTCTGACTGCTTTTAGTTTCTGTTATTGAAACGGTGCTTAACTTTCCACAGCCATTACACTGAGTGTCACCTGTGGAATATGAAGCAAAGATCAGCTCACCTGTCTTTTCAGCAGAAGACTTCAAAGTTCTTTTCTATTCTCAAAAGGGTATTCTGTAAAAATCACCCTTTCATTGATGAATATCAAAGTAAATCCCGACTGAGCCCAATGTTAAATTGTATACCCCTGGCTTTCACAATGCTGCCAAGGTGAAGGATTCTGCAACAAAACTATTTTTCCTAACAGTTTTATTGCAGGTATGTAAGATCTAATGGAGATGAGCCTATTCTCTTCTTAGGTGTGTCAGCTTTACAGAGCTCACCAGCACAAAAAGAGGATCTTGGCATTGTTACACTGGCGAACATAGAAGACGCTTCATACATCCGGGTGGATGACTTGCATTGTCAAGATCTTTTAAAAGATCTGGGCGTTATTAGAGGTGGGTGTTTAATTGTTGATTAATTAAAACAGAACCATACATGAATTATCCAGCCAGTAAACCTTTTTCTTCTGATAGGTAAAAAAGAATTCTGAGAGACCTGGAATCACATTCTTGCCTCAACTGCACCAATCTGAATGAGAGGAAGAGAACTATATTTAGGTATTTGGTGATGCAGATAGGTGAAATGCTCAGAAACCTATATGCAGACCAGATGTTCAAATAGTTCTGGTTTTACAAATCTGTTTACATATCAGTATCTCTGTGAAATCAGGTATGATTCCTTGGTTGCAAAGTAATTCATTGCTCCTTATTTTGTAGGTAAAAATCAATATAAATCAGTATGAGTTTGATACTTCCTACAATATGAAGTAAAAGTTTTTATAAAACCAACTTCGCATTAGGAAAATAAAATTCACTGGATTGCTTTCATAGTCAGTGTAAAGTCAGACACTCTCAGTTCTTTAGTGGTGGCATGCTGTCTTCAGAAGTGATATTGTCATACAATATCCCTGGTCCTGTTTCAGTTTATTTCTCCCTCTGACTCTGCTAATACAGCTGTTTTCTGGATCTCTGCTGTGAATATGGACTTAAATTAAAAATGAAAAATAAGAAAGAGAGAGGAGGGGGTGCGGGTGGAACTGCTACCATTGAAGACAACTACCATCAAATCTTGTCCTTAATATATGCTCTGGAAGGATCATGGAAGTGATTCACAAAGGAAGTGATCCTTTGTGATCAGCCCATTCACTGGGGACATTTCCATTACAGACTTTTAAACATACCTGTGTCATTTCTCTGTGACTTGCTCACAGCTCCCGGGTAGTGCAAGTGTTTCTTCTGCAACAGCATTGTAGCACTGAAGTGATGGGAAAAAACATTTTTCTACAGCAGCTTTTATAATGAATCCTCTTGTTTGGCCTGGAGAATATTGGCTTGCTGGGGAATGGGTAGAAGCTGCACAAGAGCTTGTGGCTGTAGCAACTGTCCTCCGTTAAGTACAGATATATAAAACAAACTGTTTTATAGGCCTGAAAGAATATGTTGTCATCACCCAAAACATAAAACCATGGTGAATACCTCTTAAGACAAAAGTGCAACAGCAAACATTGGAGCTGTCAATTTGTGTAAACCCAAGAGCACTACAAACAGTTAAAATCTGAAATGGCAAGCATGACTTATATTCAAAACTAATCATTGAGATATTACCTTAAAGCTCAAAAGACTCTGCCAGGCAGGTTGCAGGGACAGCAGAGGAGGCATTTGTAACATGAAGAGTCATTTCTCATTAGGACCCTTCAGGATCTGGGTCTGTGAAAAGAAATCTTCAATGGTGAGAACAAGGGAAAAAAGATCAGCTTGCCCTTGGGAAAATATGGCTTGTTAAGCTCATATAGCTTTCCTTTAATAACATATTTTTAGATACCTGTGCTTTTGAATGCCTACTTCAAAGAACACCCACCCTTTAGAGCCCTTTCATGAGGACAGACAATCTATGAAAAAAATTTATTTTAGTCACATCAGTGTGTGTGTCCATATGTCAGACCTCAAACAGGGAGGAGAAGCACTGGATAGTAGTCCCAGTGGCAACACAGAGACTGATTTCCAAGAGTAAAACTCCAAATCACTCTTACAGCCATCTTTTATGTTTTCTTCATTTCTATCTGAAGTTGTTACATCAAGGTATTGAGACACTTGATTTGATGTTTGTGGTCTTCTAAAACTGAAGCCCTTCTACCTCATCTGAAATACAGTGTCTACATTTCTGCTATAGCATATTTTTCCCTGTCTCAGCTATATTCAAACCCATTTACCAAGGTAGATCCAGAGGAGTTATGTATTAAAAAACTCATCACTCCTTTGAATCCCCTGAACAGTTTATTACTCAAATTTCAGTAAAGGATATTTCTTTAGAAAGTTTACTGGATGCCTTCAGAACTTGATGAAACTTTATCACTGTTAGCCTGTCATCAAAGTCATCAAAGTGTTTAATCAATGCCTGACAATGCTGAGCTGTTAGCATCCACTCATCCCCTTTACTACAACGCCTTAGTTTCATTTAGACAGCTGAATTTGACCGGGATTTGCATGAGGTTACAAACTCAAACCATGTTCAGGTTAGTCAGGAGCAGCCCCAGAGCCAGTTCTGTTTTGCCTCTGCTGTGTCCAGTCTAATCATTGTTACTCACAGGAGCCTGAATCCATGATGGCTCTTTTGGGAACCCAAACTATGTCTAGCTTCTTTTACTAAATTGGAGAAGCAAAGGTTTAAGTGGTCCATCCTGAATCCTATTTCCACTTTCTGGGATCCTTTGGGAGTATATTTCTCACCCTGGTTCTGGTGTTGGCTACAGAAAAGACAAAATGTATGCAGAGCACACTTTTGTATATAAGTTTAAGGGACCTCTTTACAATAATGTGATGGCACTGTGATGGCAGTAATAATCTCCATTTCCATCAGTCTATTTTCCTTCACCCCTAAAATGGCACACGTAACACACCCACTCCAGAATGTAGTGTGATTCATATGAAAGTCTACCCTTGGCCAAGCCTGTACTTGACAGCTCTTGTGCTTTGCATAGGATTATTTCACGGGGCAGAGGAGGAGAGAACAACTGAAGACTGAATCTGTTTGTATACACACAGATGTGTATTCCTGAACTAACATTTCCCTGCCTGACCTCAGGAAGACTAGATGAAACACAGCACTAGCTGCTGAGTCAGTGAGGCTCTTTGAACTGATAACCGTGGCATGTTCTGTGATGTGGTTTGCCTGGAAACATACTTGTTTCTTTTGAAAATCCAAAATACCAAAATGACATCAGTTGTAGTGTGCATTGAAAAACCTAGGCTGAGATGGCAAGCTGTTTTAGTCCATAAATGATTGCAGATGTTTGGGTGAGGCTGCAAAACACAAGGCTTTTCAAACATGTACATTTGGGAAGGGACATATATAAACATGAACATATTTGTTATGTACTGCAGCCTGTCAGCTGGTCCCATTTCAGATTGGCAATTATTAAAGATATGCAAAAGCAAGTGGAAACTATGATGGCTGCAATGCATCTGGTTTAGTGAGTGTTTTCCATTTCTGACTCTATAGGCTTTCCTCCCTTTGTCTGATGCCAGTTACATACTAAACACATAGAACTGTCAACAGGCTGAAGAAGAGGCCTAGGAGGTACACTGCTAGTTTTCATTATCACCAGATTGCAAAAGCATATAGCCTGAGCTGGTTTTCAAGAAGCTCTGTGTCCCAGGAGCCTGCTTTGCTAACTAGGATCTGGATGGTACCAATTTAGAAAGCTCTCTAGTTTGTGATGTCCTTTAAGTGAATGAGTCATTTGCCAGAGTCACAGGCATAGGAACAGGATAGAAAGAAGAGCTACTAGATGAAGAACTACTGGCATTAGATCTTCCTCCTGATCTCAGAATTTGGGCTTTTTGGCCCTGGGTTCCAGAAGAAAGCTCCAAATGGTTCTTGCTGACACAGCATTAAGAAGGTGAGTGACAAGGGCTGTTGGATGACATGGACACCCGCTTCCCCGCCATAAGAAAAAACAAGTTATCGTGTGCCTTCACCTTAAAAAAGCCAATGGCAAGCAAAAATCTGTCATGAGAAAATGATCTTTTTGCGTCACTTCTTTGGGCCAAATTGCAGCTTTTTAACTCCTTGCCATGTGGTAATTCTAACAAATCCTTCAGCTCACTTGTTCAGCCTAACTCTCTATGCAGCTGTGGGCAGAAAGTGAGGAGGGCCTTGCTGCAGTGTGTTTGCAGCTGTTCTGCAGCATTATCTCTAGTTATGTGTTAAAGTTCCTGTAAACCCAGCTCCTGACATCTCTGCACTCCTGTGTTTATTACAGATGACAAATTAAAAATAAAGCTTCAAGTATTAACATAGCAAAAAATCTCATCGTTCAGTTATCTTAAAAATTAAACTGTAAACTACTTTTTCAAAGTTGTACTTTTTAGAAAACTGCAACTTTTGCAATGTGCAGTTGGAAGATGAATAACATAATTTCTTTCCAGATTGGTGTTGTTCTTTTCTATTTGACAGACATTTTATTTTAAAGTGTGGGCTTGATATAAGTGTGCCAAAAGTGCTAAAATTGGATTGCAGAAGGTTAGGGAAGAAAATCTGTTGTTTTTATGAAATGTCCAAGACTATTTAGATGTTTTGGTTTTACTCTATGGGTTCAAGAAGCAGTTACGCAAATAAATTAAAAAATATAATTAAAATAAATTAAAATCTACTAAGGAATTGTAAAGGATATCACATCAGACTAGTAAGTAATTGCACGCAGCTGAGATTCACAAGTGAAAAAAATGGGTTTCAGGAACATATATTCAAAGAAACCTGTAAATATTTATTGCGTGTGCTAGAAGGCAAAATTTAGCCAGTGATTTCAAAATTCATTGCCGACATTTGTCTTTTCTCAATACCCCAAACTTCATAAATGTGTTTCTGTTTAAAATGTCTTCTCAATGTCTGGAAGGTTCAGTAAAACTTAGCAGCTGGGAGAAGAAAAAAGCACAAAGTCTTAGCAGGTTCTATCCACACGAACAGCAGCAGACAGTATCTTAGACTGAAACAGGTGCCCCAAGTGGCACCAGGGACTAAGGATTTCATCAAGAGCAGAGTTATTCATAGGAATAACTGAAAAATGATGGGACAACTCACATGACTGGAGGATTACGATGGATGGAAACAGGCTGTTTCAAAAAGACAGGCAGGACAAAACTGGAGGAGCCTCGCTCTTTGTCAAGGGGAACTTCTGGTACATAAAAGTCAACCACAGCAACTGATGCACAGAAGTCCGCCATGGTAACTGTCGAAGTCCTACAGAATGCCTTTGGGTCAAGATCAGAGAAGGCATCTTCAAGGGGGATATTTCAGTAGGCAACTTCTACTGGCCTCCAAACCAAGACAGCAAGACCAGCAAAGCCATATTCAGGTCACTCAAGCAAGCTTTGGAAGGTTCACAGAACCTGGTTCATGTGGGTGACTTCAGATGTCCAGACATTTATTGGAAGAACAGTACAGCAGCTCATGTTATCCATCAAGTTCCTGGAGTGCCTAGGAGGATTACTTCCTCATACAAATATTAGAGCTGTGCCAAGCAGGAATGAGGCACTGCTGGACTCACAAACTGAGAAAAACCTGCTTTGAAATATCTTGGTCACTGATAGTGTTGGTTATAGTGATCACAGTATTGTGGAGTTTGGGATTTGGCTGGGCATGCAGAAGGTTAAAACCAAAGGGTTTAGACTTTAGAAGAGCAAACTTCAGCTCACTCAAAGCTCAGGTGGCAGGTGGGGCAGGTGGAAAGAGAGGATGGTAGGGTCCTCTGAAACCTTCCATATAGTAAAAACATGCAAACAGGCTGGAAAGTATCCAGAGAAGGGAAACAAGGACAATCAAAGGACTTGAAAGTCTGCCATATGAGGAAAGAACTGGGTTTCTTAGGCCTTGAGAAAAGGAGGCTTAGGGGACACCTAATCTTGCAGAGGCCCTGTCTGAGGGAAGCTGCCACTGCCATGCAAGTAGTATTAACACAAAGCAACAAGTACCTGATAGCAAGATGGAAGCATTATTGAGACAACAGAAGTGCATGGTTGCATTAAGTTTATGGCACCATCCAAGCTCCTGAGTCAGTACTTCCAGTGTCTTGCAAGGCTGTACTCTTGGTAGCGATGACGAGCATCAAGGGGAAATAACAGTGCAGAAGCTGTTGTGCTGCAAGGAGGGTAAAGTGAATTTTTGGTTACATCATGCAAAAACATACTATTCTGCTTCATAGAATGTAGCACATTTCTGTGCTTCAAGTGATGAGACTTTAATATTCTGGCTGGTTCTGGGGTAAGATGTAAGCCTGGGTCATGTCCAAGCATAATTTAAATGCAGTGATGGCAATTACCTGCAGTGATGGTGTTACACCAGCAAGAACTAAAGACATGCTGGTGGTGGAGAAAATCCTCTATACTCTGCTTGTTTTGGTCTGAGGGCTGAGGAGCATGGCTGCCTTCATGTTCCCCTTTCTTGGGCAATGGTACATATCAAACAGGCTGATCTCCACATCACTCTAAACTAATCATTGTTGGCTATTACTTTGCAACAGCTCATTCTTTAGTAAATGCCATTTTGATGACATCATTTGAGGTAGTGGTCTAGAAGCTATATTAGGTCTGGAATCTGTGTTCCTATTTAAATCTCCCAGTCACAAGAAGTAATAGCACATAAACATTTGGAGAAGGCCTTTCTTGGCCAAGGTGCTGTACAGACATGGTTGTTCCCCTGTAGAACCAATGGGTTTGCTTAATCCCCCAGTATACCAGAAGGGGTTTTATGAGGCTTTGCAAAATGTAATCCAGAGGACCTCGTGGGTTTTTTCTCCTTTTTTTTCTGCTTTGGACAAGAAGATAATTTCGGACTGAAGCATCTGTAGCATATGTTTTCTGCAGAGCTGGTGATAATAGAAGTGTTTCAGTGAGGTCCCTGTATGAGTTACGTCACTTGTTTTTTGACTCGGCAATCAGAGAGGAGCTAGCGAGGAAGCCTGCTGTCAGTGCTGGAGAAAGGATGTAGGTCCTGGCGGCAAGCCCAGGCCTGCTCAGCAGATCAAAGGCTCTTCCCTTGGCTCCCATAGCAGCCGGAAAAGCAGCTGCCCAGTACCCTTTCAGCATCCTTCGTTCCTTTCTCCTCTGCCAGCAAATAACTTCTTTTTGCTCCCCACCTCGGCAATAGCCCCTTTTTTTTCCCCTCGGTATCCTGCCAAGCAAGGCCCTTTTATGGAAAGTGCTTGTGTTTACTACCTGCAGATCCCAGGGCCAGCCAGTGGAAACACACTGGGAATCCTCCAGTTCTTACATGCTCCTCCCTTCTCCCAGATACGCTCCCAGCTGCGACTTTAACCTGGAAGATGAGGCAAAGCTGAAAGGAACAAGCCATGGCTATAAACCACATGCCATTTTCCAAGCCAGCCTGATGGAAGATTTGAATTTGGAAAAGTACTTTTTGTGCCAAAATAGCATAACAGCCATGCTTTGAAACTCTTCCCACTCACCTCCCAGAAAAATAAATAATGTGGCTTTTTTGTGGGCTTCTTCGTGGTGGCTTTTCCTTTTTAAATACATGACTGCCTTCCTCCAAAGCTGTTGCTTGTCAGTGCTGCTCCTCGCTGTCCCTGTTAACTGGTTCCTGACGGGAAGTTTGTCCGCCATGAAAAGAGAGTTAAGCAGACATGTCAGAGAACTGCAGACTCTGCAAGAAGAAAACTGTGTCTGCTATTACACTGCTGTTTCTGCTTCACTTACATTATGGGCTGGTTGATGGGAGCCTTTAAAAACAGCAGCACTGAGCTTCAAAGGCTCATGCAGCCCCTACATACCAAATTACTGCTAAATAGGGGATGAAAGCCTGACCCCTGAGTGCCCCGCTGGCAGTGTCTGCATCACCAACACCTTTTCTTCTCCCTGGTTTTGAGAGCTGATCAGCCCAGTACTGCTAGGTGGATAAACTGTCCTGCACCAACATGCTAAAGGTCTTGAAAATATTTTTGTAGCTGCTTTTGTAAGCACCGCGAGGCACTTCAGCCTGCAGTCAAAGCTGCACTGTGGATAGATATGAGGTTTTTCATGCTCAGTAAGCAGTCCCGAGCTTGGGTTTGCTGACTAATTATCTGCCATCATCAAGATTAGTATGGGAGCAATGTTTTAAAAAATCTTTGTTCCCAATGTGAGTTTCTAATGCCTATTAAAACTGTGTGTGTTTGGGAGCTCCTCTGGGCAGCTTTTCTCCCTGTGTTCACACACTGCTAATAACACCTTCATATGGGTTTGCCTACTACAAATTGCCAGTAATTAATAATATTCTACATAGAAGCATCAGAAACAGTTAATGCATGTGACTGCAGGCTGGCCCAGTGCCTAGCCCAGATGCTTGGTAGACAAGTCTCTCTTTGCCTCAGTTTACTCCTTCAGTAAAATCAAGAGATTGAGTACTGCTTGTCAAATGTATATGGGCAGGTGGTGGAAACCATTGGAAATGACAGGTGCAGAAGCATACCAGATTATTTTCCATAGGTTTCATTATTATATCTGATGCTTTTATAATGGAATCTAATTTTCTAACTCATCTTTTGCATAAATGTGCCATATTAGACAGTAGTGGCACTGTGGGGGGAGTTGGAATAAGTGGAGAGAGTGAACTGCAGGATCATTATCACCAGAAATACATATCATTGTGTATTATCATACCTCTAAGGAGGCACAATTATTCCTGTATTTTTTTTTCTCATTGTTGTCCTTAATTGTTCTTCTCCATGTGTCTCCTACCAACATTTCTTTATTATGTGAATTGCAAAACTTCTCATGGGTCCAGTGAGGCACCAGTGTCACAGAAAAGCAGTAGAGTCCCTTGAGTATGTGTTGACTTTTCTTTCTCTCTTCTCTACCTTTATTAGCATCTTCCCACTTGCCTGTTCTTTTCTCCCTGTGTGTCTGGTTTCATCTTTACTACAACTGAAACAAATAATTTTGATGAAACAAATATAAAGAAGGAGGGCAAAACACCCTCTTGTGTTTTGTTTAGTAGGGAAACATGCAGCATTATAAAATATCAAAACCCCAATGACACTGTAGGAAAATTCAGGTAACAAGTAAAACAAAGAGATACCCAGAATAAACATGCAGATGCACCAGGCAGGATTCAACTCAACACCGTGATGTGTCTTTATCCCAGGAGAGATATGAGATAGTCATCGGCCCTGGACTTCAACAGTTTTTAGAATTCTGGAAAATTAATCATTACAGTAAGGTTTTAAAGGATTTCAAGGAGTGGGTGAAGAAAGTAATTTGTTTTGAGAGGACAGCTCAGGGCTTTCTTGATCTTTTTACTGTCCTGGTAAATCATTTATCAGGGCAAACTTTCAGAAAACTCCCACACAAACCATGCTAGACAGAGTCTCCCAAAAGTAATATTACTCCTCTTTTATGCTTTCCAGACCTAAAAATAGAGAGAAAGAGAGGCTGCAATACCAGGATGGTACAGTCCCCTGCTTGATAATGTGAGGGCTTGAAAGCTTCCCTTTTCTGAAATATTAAGTGAATTGTTCAGGACTATGAGGATGTTCGTTTCTTATTTAACCTTGCTTTTTGTGTTTTATTTCTAATACCTGATACAAAAGTCAAAATAGTACCACAGTGTGAGGTATTTTCTCTTTTGAATTATTAAAATGGAATATAAGCTTTATTTTTTTCCCCTATTAATTGTTCTGGTTGATAGAACTAGCTTAGAGCAGAGGTGTGGTTTGGAAGGCTCAGATTTTAAAATATTAAGATAAAGGGAGGCGGGGGAAAGCAGAAAGGAGGAATTTCTCCCTGCACATCAGAGGGTCCCAGAAAACCTGGGATCATATACATGACTTCTGGAAGGATAAATTTTACCTTGTGTTCATCAGTTATGAGGTTTTCTCTGGTCTAAAATATCCCAAATTATCACTGTCATTTGTATGCAGCATCAACTTCAAATGTGGAGTAACAATAATGAGGTATTATAAAGGAATTTCTTTCTATTTATGTTTTGAGTTTCAAACAGTTCAGTTGCAATTGATTTATTACAGGAATATTAATTTAATTCGAGGACAAGAGCTTTGAGAGCTTTCTAATAAAACGTTAAGATTGGTAATACAGCTGGGACTATGAGGAATAATGGATAATTTCTATTATTGCTTTCTCCATGGCCGTGATCATTTTCCCATCGTAGATGTTAGGACATTGTGAAAGGGAATAGTGTAAGAGGCACAAGGAACAACTTTGTGCTAATTTCCAGCAAGCAAATCAAAAGCAGGTGTTGAAAAAGTTTTGTGTAAATGAAAAGTGTATGCACAGAGAAAGTAACTATATGTGCAAGAGAAATGTACCTTTTTTTTAAATTATTTGCGCATAGCATGAACTGATAGATTTCAATAAAGCTCCTTCATCTTAATTATGTAATTAGCCACACTTCCCATGGGCTGTGAGAAACCTGGAGAGACTGAAAAGAGGTGAAACAACAGGGAAGGTGAAGATTATGGAGAGAGAAAGAGCTGAAGTGAGAAAGAAGTAATCCAAGGGAAAACAGGCTTTCTGCTATGTTTCTCATGGAAGATTTATCCTCACCCTTGCCAGCCTTGAAACTTGGAGGTTTTAATTGTGGACTCAAAATAAGAAACCTGTGGTTTTCTCATTCAGATGGGCTCCCTCTGCCTGCCCGCAATGTCTGTGAAGCAACTATGGTGATGTTCTATGCTCTGTAACATGTAATTCACAAGTGTCAAATATGATGTTAAAAATCTACCACCTTCCCGCCCTGCATACCTATCCATCCCCCAGTTGACCAAGAATATTTGACTCCCCTCACCCCTGATGGTATTTTGCTGGCACACAGACCTGCTCCTTGTGCCCTTACTGATCTCTGCTCTAGGACTGTGTCTGTCTCTTCTACCTCCATGTCTCTGGAAGACAGCGTTAGCTGTTTGCCAGCATTAAGGCAAACATGGATGCAAAATCCCTTCCACACAGCAGCTATTTCAAACAAGCTGCTGTGAAGGAATTTCTGCTAAAAACAGAGGAGAAAAAAAGAGCTGGTATCTCAAAATACTTTCCTCATTGCAGCAGTCAGCTGAGGAGGAAGGTCAGGAGAGAGCAATGCTGTTCTCAGGTAATGTGGGGTAAGGGGAAAAGGGTAGGAGACACTGAAATGTGTTCATAAAGGAGAGAAGGAAACCTCCAGACACACAAAGAGGAGAAGCTAATGTGCCTTCAAAGTACATTTAACGTGGGATTGCTGACATGTCATCACAAGCACCAGCATAGAGCTATTACATGGGTCACTGCAGGGACAGGGTTACTGTGCCCTTCTGTAATCCTGTTGGATTTATTTTATATTTAACTTTGCCGTTGAATTCCACCTTGTATAATGTTTGGTTTAGGAATAAGTTCTACAGCATTCCATCTTTTTAATTCTCACCTGGCAATAGGACTTGTATCCCCAACTCCCCCCCATGTAATTTTTGTCTGAAAAGTAATGTAAAGTCTCTTTGAATAGTATCCTTCACTCTTTACAGGTATTTTTCATGGGAAGTTCAAAGGGAACTTTTCATTTCTCAGATACTCATGCTGTTTTTGCAGGTGCTTTAGAAAAGTTTCCACTAACAAATAAACAGTAAGAATCAGGTGTGATGAAAATTGCTCAGCCACAAACCATCAATACTGAATATGCTAAGATACAGTTGAAGTGAGTTGCTTAACAAGTGCTAAAATCTGACCTAGTTCCATAAGAGGTGTTACAGAATGATACTGCACATAACAAAAAGTATCTTTTCCCAAGCTTCATGAATAGTAGAAGAGGTGACTGTTCATTATTGGTTACAAACACTTTTATCCCAAGCCTCTTCTTAATGAAGTTTCACTGACACACTCACAGCTTTCAGCCATCCAAAATACAGAACCATCACCCTTCTCCTGTTCCACAAAAAAAAAAAAAAAGTGGTTTTAGAAGCAAGCAAAAAGGAAGCAAAAAGCAGCAGCACCTTGAACATGTTAGAGATGTCAGAAAAATTGTGGCAAAAAACCAAATATAACACCTTCAAACTCCCAGTTCTCATAGCTGGATTTTGGTATGGATATGGCTGGAGGGTTTTGAGACAGGGTCAGGGTCTAAACTGTATGTGTTCCAAGCATTTGCATGGAAATTGGTGAGCCCTGGCTTACCTGGGATCCTAGGAAACAAGACTTTCCAATGAATGTTTCCAATGAAGGAAGACACAGCATCAGCAGGTCAACAGCTGCCTTTGTTGAGGACACCTGACCAGCAGCAGTCACTAAGTCCATCCATTGTTTCCCCTTCGGTGACAGTATGAAGAATATCCCAAAAACACCTGTGCCTGAGCTCTGCCTCCCTGGTCTGGGTCATTTGCTCACGAGGTCACAACACTGAGCTGTGCAGGTGGTTCTTAGGACACACACCCTGAGCAAGATTCACCAACTACAACTCGTTAAGCACAGAAGCAATCCCAGTAGCTTCATGTATTGGACAGTGGTGGCCTTGCATCAATTCAGAGTTTATATACTTCCTTAGAAATCCTCTTACTTATTTTGAAAGTGGTGGAAGTAGTGGATATTTTGTTCTGCTTGTTAATAAATACATTGAAGACTGTGAACAAAATCCAGACAAAATGATGTTTGGGACAGAAGCGAAGAAGTCCTTGACATCGTCAGGAACAAAAGATATCTGCTATTTTTCTTTTTTTTTATTTTTTTTTATTTTTAATGTATGAGACTCATGAAAACAAGGATCTATTTACAAACCTATCTGAACAAATAGCTCCAAAGACAAAAGGTAATTGCATAATGATCACCACTGTGGTAGCAACAAAAACTTAATTATTAATGGTAAGACTTCATCTCCACCATTTTTGCAGACTATTATGCCTTGTGGGATAGGGAATGTACTTCATTAGGGGCTTCTCTTAAAAAATAAATGCAAACCATATGCACATTCAGCTCAAGGTCTTTACCTCAGAAATAATTATGTCCATAGCTACACACTGCCTGTTAGCTAAATGTCATTCAAGGTCTTCCTTGTAATATTAGAAGCATGAGTAATACCAGATTAACCAAGTTCCTGAAAAGTATTTTGAGGGCTATTCTTTAAAGCAAATTAGATTGTGGGACATTGCTCAAGGCAGAGAGAGGACACTGGAAACTTTAAGGAACAAAACAGTCCTCTTGACATTTACTGCAGGCTTGTCTCTGTGTTGTTAGGCACAGGGCTTTTGCATGTGAATAAGAGCCACTTGTACATGAAGAAAGAGTAAGAGGATGAACTTTGAGGAAAATTATTTCAAATGGTGCCTACACACTTGGGATCTCCAAGGTCAAGGGTAGCAAGTGCACAGGCTAAGGTCCAAAGTTCCAGTGAGACAGAGAGGGATCACAATATTCCAAAATATAGCACCTTATTTGGCAGGAAATAAAATACAGAAGCACAAGTGTGTAAGCATATGTATTGTGCTAAGCATATATATTGTGTATTGTCCTTTAAATATAGTCGCTGGTAAAAGGGGATTCTGCTATAAAGAAAACCGTATCTTTACTCAGTTCTTTGGCAATTTAGCTACTCTCTGTTTCATCAAACAGGAGCGATATTCACCCTGACAAGGGGTTCCCTCAGACCTGGGGACATTAACCAATTGCAGTTTAAAGAAACTTAAAGTGGGCATGAATGAGTAAAGACAGAAGGAAAAGTGTGTGAGGGACCAGCATGTGTGTGTGTGTGTGTGTGTGTGTGTGTGAGAGAGAGAGAGAGCGAGCGAGAGAGAGAGAGAGAGAGAGAGAGCTGCTCTTTCTTGTAGGAGTTAAGCTGGGAAATGACACCTGTCCTTAGGTATTATAGTGAGTGATGGCCAGTGCTGGGTCTGGACCTGCTAGCTTAACCCTTGCAGTATCAGATCTGACCTTCTGATGGCAGCCACATGGCCTTGAGTCTCGTGAAGTGGCACAAAGCTGGCAGATCTGCCTTACAGTGTCTCACAGTCCCATATGAGATCACTCTACATACAGGGCAGCATTAAGTGGTCCTCAGAGGGACAGCAGAGTGTTATGCATCACAAGCTGCTCAGTGTCCTGCCACAGTGAAGCCCCCATTCCCAGAAAAGCACCTGCTCATGGCTGGTCAGTGGGGCTATGGATGTGCTGGAAAAATTATGGTGTGTTCTAACTACATGATATATGTGTACACAGTCAGATATCTGGATGTATTTCTTTTCAGTTTATACCTGTGTAGTTCTGTTGACCTTGGTGGATTTATCCAGGTGTATGTCAGGCCAGAATCAAAGCCTCTGCTCTGTCAGTGAAAAGGGAGTCAGAAGCTGGGCTGGTGTGCTTAACACAACACATGATTACTAGGAGAAATGACTTGGCAGGAGTTGAAGCACCAGACATACAGAAAATGTTTGCTTTGAAATTCCAGAGACTTGACTGTCCCTTTGGTTTTTTGGAATGCTTTGATTTAGTCATGTGGGGTGGGAGCTGGCTGTAACCTTGCAAGGGCACTGGGAACAGTACCTCTTGTGCAGCTACAGGAGATGTGAAGAGAATTAACTGTCAGCAAGCTTCAGGGAGACAGCAGATGTATACGTGGTTAAGAGAAGTTTGGCTGGCTTGTAAAATTTAT